TACCACAGTGTCAATAAACGCTTCCACTAACCCACAGCACAAACATCACCCAGCTATAAGACCAATAGAATGAAATCAAAAAATGAACTTACTGTACTCCCAAATCCCCAGTAGAAAACACATCAATGCGCTTAAGCGCAAACATAGCAAACATCTCAACTGACCACTTCCCCAACCCCCGAACAGCAATAAGCTTTTCAAAAAGCTCCTCATCAGTAGCCCGCGCCAACATCCTCGCCCCAAGCTCCCCACTAGCAAACTTCTCCGCAAGACCCTGGATATACTCCGCCTTGCGCTGCGACAGCCCCGCCGTGCGCAGGGTAGCGATATCACACTTGGCAACCTGATCCGGAGTCGGGAACTTGGCATGTCTATGCCCATCAGGCGCAACAGTATCGGGCAAATCAAACAGTGACAGGAACTTGTTCCGGATAGACTTTGCTGCCGCGCCAGAGACTTGCTGGCCGATGATGCTGCTGGTCAGGCTGTTAAAGGGGTCGATTTCCTCTGCCAGGCCGGCCGGCGAGAAGAGCGGACATGGATGCTGCTCGATCACTGCTGCGATGCGCGGGTCTGTTGCTATGAGGTGCGCGGTGGCTTTCTCGAGCAGTGTCCCTGTTGTGGCTGTTGGCCGTGGAAGTCCGGTTTTTGAGGGGGAGGCATCTTCCGCGTGCGCTGGGTAGGCGTTTACTGTTGAGCCGTGGGGGGTTATGAGGATTGCGTTTGTTCGGTGCGGGTCGACGGGACGGTCGAGGGGAGGGGGGGTCTGGGGTCTGAATATCGTGGGGTTAGTGGGTGAGGGCTGGTTGTCTGTTTCTTGTTTCTCTGCGACTGCGGGCTCCGGGGACCAATAGGAGATTTCTGTTTTTGGTTTTGGTTTTGTACTTGTAGGTTTCTTGTCTGATTTGTTGGTCTTTGTGGGTGCCTTGCGAGGTTTTGTCACTGCGCTGTGTTGGACTCTTGCTTCGCTCGGAGCTGAGCTTTGGAGTAGTGGTGACTTGATGGTTGGGACGGAAGCAAGTCGGGCTGAGCGTCTGAGTGACATTCTTGAATGATATGAGATAGTCAATGGCCTATGTACGGAGTACTGGACCTGAGGAGGTCTGAGGGGTCGTCGTAGCGGAAGCTGGGGTTTGCTGAGGTGCGGAGTTCCGAGTTGGAGATCCGCTACCCCACGAATGCCAACCACGCTCTTCAATGGGACCTGGACAGACAGACATGCGAAATTTAATCATATTTATCATTGACCGTTGATTTCGATATGGTAATTGCTCTTATTTTCGTGCATGCTTACCACTTCTCATGTATGACGTATTTCCAACATATGCAAGCTATAGTCATCTATATATCTGACACCTTTAAACACCATTATAGATTCCCACTCGACGGAAAGCCTATGCGCAGGAGTCGTGGATATTTCTAGTAGTTTCAACAAGCACCTATGGAGCTCATTAATTTGTTTCTTACGCCAAATCTATGAAGAGGAGTAGGGTTGCCTGCCAAGAGTTATATCCATGGGTTATATTGAAACTTACAGGAGTAGGATCTTATGAATATGAATCGCACATTACTCTCCTTGTCATCTCTCTCTAACCCACGTCATCGTCATGGATTATCTGCAACATACATCAGCGCTCTTCGTTGTATAGATGTGGTATGCGATCCACTGATGGTTCTATGAGTTGATTGTATATTGCAAACAGTGCTATGATTCCAATGTTACATCGACGAAAGTTCGATAAAAGCCTCAATGCACATAGATGTAGCATCCAAGGCTATTTGCCCCAATGATATCTATGGTATGTGTCAATGATGGAAGATGTACGGAATAGACAGTTGCTATAAATATCCCTATAATCTTGGGAGACGTATACAGCCCGTGATTGTACCTTGGATTTATACTGAGAACTCACGCGATTGGATGCGATATACTCCGCTACAGCATTGTCCCAAGGAACTATCCGCAAGAACACCCCGTGGCCCGAAATTGAAGAACTATGGTAGCTTGGTAATATATTACGAGATTTACATGAAATTTGAAAGACTTAAAGACCGAGGATGGATATAATTCGTGATTTATTAGTGGGATTTTGGATTGGAACTATTGTTCAGAGAGATCGGGGTTCGCGTCGGTGGCTTGCGATTATATATTAACCCAATCGCCGACGGATTTATCGGAGGGGTTAAAAAATAGAAAAAAAATGAAAGAGCAGAAATAGTCCGAACGAACCGACCGTTCATCTAATGCAATTAATAGATATCGACCAATAAAAACCGAGATTATCATTTAGGCCGAAGCGTTGAGCCGAGTCAACTCCAAGATGTTGGTGCATTAGTTCGAAATTAGAAACAAGAATGAATCCCTGTTCGTGCGACCACTACTAGAAGCCATCAGAATCAGAGTACGATAACCAGAAGGCGGGAAAGCTTCGCATTACAGCCCCAGCCTTCACCAGCATAATGCACATAACCCAGAGTGGTCGGGCGAGTGCGTACTCCGTACTTTTGGATCATTGTCCGTGTTCTAGGGAATGTGGCCATTCGCAACCCCTAGATAGGTCATTGCTGAGCGTTCCACGCATTCCCATGCGTGGCCCTCTCGGCCTTTTAGGGCAGACAGGAATGTGTGCTGAATGCTAGGCAGAAATCGCCATACACATGTGTCTTTGTCTTTCGTACTCCGTACCTACTGTGACAAGTGCCAAGTTTAGGGCCAGCACAGCTGGACTCAGCTTTGGGGTATCCATATTTGTGGCGTAACGAGCACGGGCAAGTATTGAAGTCAGTATGTGTCGAAATTTTCCGAATCAATAGACTTGGGCTTCGCGACAAGGCCACGCGGCCATTCTTTATAGTCGAAGACGTATGGACGAGAATATAGCAAATCAATGAAGTTTTTTGATAGGATTGGACGCGATAGAAAAAAACATATCACGTAGTGGAGCAGTACAAGAGTGGGGTGCGACGTATCGAGTGAGTTGGCTTCTTCTGAAACATTTCCCGACTTTACATCGCCAATAACCACTTTGCCACCCGAAAGGGGAACGACACTTAAGTCAGTTGTATCCGGAGTACGAAGTAAATATCCCATTGTCAATACTGTCAATTCCATTGGGTCTTCTAGAACGAGGTGCGATGGATTCGCTATCGAAGATGTCCCGGGCCGATGAAGCTCTAGACAATGCTTGACAGGAGCTCCATCGCCGGGGCCAAAGTTATAGCCGGTTCTGCATTGTTACCGAAAACGCACAGATGTTGAAATTTTCAATGTACAACGTACGAAAATTTCCAAATGAGTCCTTGAGATCGTCTGGAGGTGCGTCCTTGTGATTTAAAGCTGTACATGTACACCGTACACCGTACAACAAGGCAAGGCAGGTACCTCTACCTAGCGAAATCATGTACCTAATTGGGTACGAATGGAAAGTGTGGCGAAGCTTCACAAGTCGTGATCGACTACCGATCTCCGAGAATTAGATTACCTCTTATACCAACTGATGGGCGCATGGCGCATAAATTAGGGGTCTGAGAGGGACTGCATGGCTTGATGCTTGGCATAGGCTTTTCCGAGCACGATTTGCATATCACATTCGCGAGGGGGGCGATGTTTCGCCTCAGGTAGAGTTGGATTTTCGGAAAACAGCCAGGATTGACAGTAATCCAGGGCGAGTCATTCCAACGTGCCAATCAGAAGTCGCGCATGCCGCAATCGACGATAGCGGCAGGGGGCGGGTCCATAGAAGGCCCGCAAATTTAGATCGGCCACTATCAAAGTGAGAAGCTTCGAAACCAGTTTGAAGATTGCGTGGCTAGTGTTTCGGGGAGAATCGGTGCGTGCAGTGGTGGAGGGGTTGGCAGTTGGTATGTTGTAGGTAGGGTATACCTATGCATTGTACAAGAAGTACAAGAATAGTTATAGGGGTTGAGATTGTCTCATATAAATGCAATGAGATTGAACGAGAAATGAAGTTACAGTCTAAGACAATTTAAGATCAACAGGGGAGTGAGCTAAATCGGATAACTAGATGACGACAGGTTGATAAATTGGCTAGTAGTTAACTTCTTGGTCAAGTTCGTTAAGACGTTCGTCACGAGCTAGTATTATGCATTATTATTAGATCCTTTTAGTATTGAGGACGTATCTTCTGGATGGACGGGCATAAATTTGCATGGTCCATGTCCAAGATACCGAGGATATGACAACGTACTTTTGATATCCGCAAACAAAGCTACAAGACACCAAATTCTACGGTACATAGTACGGAGTATGGAGTACAGAATACAGAATCTACCGTGGCAACTATAGATCACCCAAGTCATAGGCTACCTTGCCGAGTGCATAGCCCGAATTGAAAGTGACGAAAACATCTCCAATATCATGCAAACATGAATATCTACATGTGAACTCCAATATTCCCCAGTCTATGAATCATCATGTAAACAAAATACTCTTCCAAAGGTTTACCAAAATGGAGAAAGGGGGGCGACTTAGCGTTGAAAAGCAGGGAATTGGTCTGGAGTTATTTAAGAATTGAGTTTTTGATTTAATTGGTATTTTTCAGTTCTGGTAATTTGTGGTAATCCTGGTAATTTGCGTAACCCTCCACTACTCAAGTCACGAGAAACTCGATAAATTACCTGGCACTGCCCTGCCATGCCGGATGCGGTACTGTGTGTGTTTCTCCCTTGGTATAGTGGCACCTGGTAAGATTAGAATACAAACAATCTCCACCCTCCCCTTTCCTCTCGCCCCAAGGCTCCTTCTTCTTCTTCATTTTACTCTCCTCCAACCTTCGTCCATTCGTTCTTACCATTATTTGAAGTTCCTGCCTCGTACCACTCGGCAGTATATCTCCGCTTCCCTCTCGTTTGAAGCGCTTCTTCTCTAATCACTCATTGCGAATTTTCCTGCTCAACCCATTCCCATATCTCTAATCGGTACGGACACCACTAACCCCCTGGTCGAAAAATCACACTGACACCTCCTTTAGAATCTTATCATGTCTCTCAAGTACATCCTCCCTGCGCTGGCCGCCAGTCGGGCAGTTTTCGCTGCCAGTGAGTATTCTGTTCCTGGCATAATGATACACCCACTAATAATGCCCTCTTACAGCTTCCTGCGGTGATACCAAGGTCACCACCCAGAGCGACGCTGATGCGGTCAACACTTGCACCACCATCAAGGGTGATATCACCATCGACAAGTCCTACAGCGGCGACCTTACGCTCAGCGGTATCGAGAAGATTACCGGTGGTCTGATCTGCTCCGGTGGTCAGAACGTCAGCTCTATCAGCGCCAGCTCTCTCACATCGATCGGCAAAGCCTTCGACTTGGAGGGACTCACCACCCTGACCCTGCTTGACTTCGCTGAGCTCGACTCCGTTGGCTCCATCAACTGGGAGGCTCTCCCTAAGCTCCAGTCCCTGTCTTTCGCCAAGGGTGTCACCCAGGCCGGCGATGTCAGCATCGCCAACACTGGTCTCACTGATCTGACCGGTATTACCCTCAAGACTGTCGGTACCTTCAGCATCCAGAACAACCGTGATCTGAAGACCATCAACATCAACAACCTCATGAACGCCACCGACTTGATCAGCTTCTCGGGTAACTACGATACCCTCGAGGTCGATCTCCCCAACCTCGGCACCGGTACCAACATGACCTTCCAGAACATCTCCTCGGTCTCCCTGCCTTCCCTTGAGAAGCTTACCGGTCAGCTCGGCTTCTGGGGTACCAAGTTCGAGACCTTCTCCGCTCCCAACCTTACCCAGACCGGTGACTTGATCTTCAAGGACAACACCAAGCTGTCCAACATCAGCATGCCCGTTCTGAAGACTGTTGACGGTGGATTCACCATTGCCCGTGATGACAAGCTCTCCACCATCAGCCTGCCCATGCTCCAGCGTGTTAACGGTGCCATTGACTTCAGCGGTACCTTCAACAAGTAAGTGACCTCCATAGCTCTATCTGTGCACATACTAACAACAAATAGGCTTTCTCTTGGTGCTCTCAAGGACGTCGAGGGTAGCTTCAACATGCAGAGCACCCGCGGTAACTTCAGCTGCGACGATCTCCGCAAGCTGAAGAGCGACGATGTCATCAAGGGTACCTTCAAGTGTGATGCCACCAACGCCAACGCCACCACTTCCACCGGCACTTCTGGCTCCTCCACCTCTTCCAGCTCCACCACCTCTGCTGCTACCAGCTCCGGTGCTGCCTTCATGACCGGCGCCAACGTTCCCGTCGTTGGTATTGCTGCCGTCTTCGGTGCCCTTGCCCAGCTTCTGTAAGGTGTTGATTAGTGGAGGATTCAAATGACCTTGGGGATTTTTGTACAAAAGTCTACCAAGCAGCGAGCTCAATATTCGTTCCACATTGCAGTTGTTACGATAATAATTCGGTCTTTCGTGCAGAAAATTCGCAATATGGATTCTGACCTCGGGAGACGCCTCTCTGGAAGGAGTTCTTTTCTTATCCTTTTTGTGTTTATTGCTTTGCTATGTTCCAATGTTCGCTCATCGCGTCCTAATGCATTCGGTTGCAATTTGTAACCTGCTCGTTCCCTGTTGATATACCGAAAGGGGAGGCTGCTGCGGGCCTGTTGGTGGAATCTCGGTTCTTGTTGTACTTCTTGTGTAAACATTCCTTGAGTTTTTTTAATGCCGTAACCTTGCCTTTTATTCTAGTTGCGTGCGAGATAATGATTGTGTACCTTTTTTACCCGGACCTTTATTCTCATGAAAGTAGCCCTCCTACATGTATTGTCCTAGTAGTCCTGAATAGCCATCGATGTTGCATTTGTCCGTTGGGCCTCGGTATACGGTATACCCCTTGGACAATGCGTCTTTGTAGTACCTGCCGCCCGTCCAAATAGCGTAGACACACGAGGGGTCTGTCATCCGTTTTCTATATCCATCAGAGCCTGCGGCTTTCTCAACAAGATATATATCCACCCATGAATCCTATTCCATAACCACACCATGTCCAACTAATCGCTAACTCTAGTTCCAACTCCCTCGCTATAGACCAACTTCACTAGATCCCAAAGTCAAATCTCCAAAGACCGATGAAACTAGTCTCCCCAATTCCAAATCGCACCGACAAGTCGAACACAGCAAGCATCCGCATCCACATCCATCCACATCCACACAACAAAACCCCCGGTGAATCAACTCCAACATAACCTAGCCCGTGTCTAGCTAACTAGTTACATACCTAATACTACTCTATCGCACATACTCCAACAACCCCATCCCAATCTGAGGTCATAACCGACCAGCATCACAAAGCCAGTGGATCCCGGTGGGTACGCACTAAGCGTTGGACGCTAGTCACTCACTGAATATCGGTAGAACACATCCATGTGTGCGTTGTTCTTTTTTTTTCTTTCTTGGCTTGGGCTAGTTACTAGGTACCTTAGTAGTTATGGGATAGGTTAAAGGTCATGGATTATGGGAAAAGGAAAGAAAACATGGAACTTGGTTCGGCGATACGGGCTGGAGTCATTCCCGGGGCTCTCTGCTCCTGTGGTGGCTGTTGGGTTGTGCTTTTTTTTGTTGTCAGGTGGAATTTGTGGGAGGTTGGTTCGGAGAGATTTGGACAATAGTAGTATATTATAGTTATAGTGTGGGAATTGGAATAAAGGAAAGTATGAGATTCTATTCTTTCTATGTGGGCTAGTAAATGTCTACTCCCAAGTACACAGGTAGGTCCATATGGTATGATTGTCAGTAGACATTGTATGTTGTATGCCAGGGATATAATGATAGTACAACAACATAGAAGTACCTTCACACTCGTTCCTAAAGCTACCATGTGCGTCTCAGAATCATCCCATGGCCAGCATCAAGTTCCGAAGCAGTCAGAAATCGACAAGTCGAATCCACAGCGCCGGGCCGCATCCCTCGATCCGATTCGAAGGCTATGTGCGGGGTCTTTACTGGCGAGTTACATATGTACCAACGATCGGGATCGCAGCTAGCTTGAAACGGACAACGACTTTCAACGAATCGGAGGATGATTGGTTGGCGTGGTTGGTTCTCTTATCCGGAGAGGAATATAGGGTCGAAGGAAGGCTGGGACGTTTGGCGTTTCGATAGACTTGGCCAATCGTGGGAGGATTATGTTGGATATTGTTATGTATGCTATTAGTCTGTATATATTGCATTATTATGGGGTACAAGTACATATTTCGAGATATTACTTTACAATCGTTACTTTGAAGTCAAGATAATTGTGCAGTGATAGCTCGACGCAGGTGGCTGGGAGAGGGGAATCGGCGATCGTTACGCTCTGAAGACTATTGTGCATTAGCCTTACGGTCGCCGGAATCTTATTTTGAGAGACGAACTCCCAATCGTGAAAATCAAGGAACAGGCAGTCTCACCATTTAGACTTATACAAAGTACTGGTATATCGTATAGAGCAGTGGATGACGCAGGGAGGGGTGTTGGATGTGTGCATCTCATGATTGCCGCATGTGTCGACTTACATGCTCCAGACCGTGCCTGAACGGCTGAAATCTACAGGATAGAATATAGAGAGGTGTTATTTTATAGAAATTGGAGGAAGACAGATGGAGGCTGGGACGGGTACGGTGATTGACCCGTCTAGAGTTTTTTTTAGAAAATCTTTCTTTTCTTTTTGTTCCTCTGCGTTTTGGGGTCATTCACTTGAAACATTTAGATGTATTCACAGGCATTCTGATCTCTCGGTGTCAAAATCTTCCATCTACAAAGGTAAAGTATACTTTGATGGCCAGCCGAACAGCACCGAACAACGGCCTGATTGGCCAACCTCTCTACGTCTACAACGTTGTATATTGTAAATTCCAGGTACTTTGGGTGGCTTTTTTAGTGCCCTCGATCTACATCGGAATTAAAGTGAATATGGAACTGCCAAGACAATCTCTTCGTGGGGTCTGGCGGCGCTGAGAGTGGGTATTGACCCTCTTTTTTTCTTCAGAAAGACCAAACTGGATCGAACACGGGTACACGCAACCAGAATATGTAGGTAATGTTGTCTTCTTGCCTACAGACCAGCAGCTCCGCACATAAAAAGTGGAGAGAAGTGCAAGGCATGGCTGGCATAAGAAATTACGGAGCACTCGGTGGTTAAGAGGCCATGACAACGTACAGCATAATATCAAGGTGGCAAGGAGTTATCCCACAACGGAACTCCGCTTCTGTGTCCTTGTCAGTCCAAACTGAAATCCCCCAGGAATATGATGCATGCAGGCCGAAACGAGAAAAAAAAAATTAAAAACAAGGGTACCTGAATAAAGATGCACATCTTCAGGTCTAGCCGACTAGCAGCGTACATCCGCCTTGCATTGGAGGCAACCAGCGATCTAGGTAATGGGAAATTGTGGAGGCCCTGAGCGCACCGTAGTGCGAATCGGTGCGGCAATGCATCATGTAGGAACCAGATCCAGACGATCGCTCACTAGAACGAGAGGGAAAGCGGACAGTGTACAGAGCTCCTAAAGAGCTCCACTTAGTATCTGTGTTGCCTCGATCGCGAACTCCACGGGGGGAGGATGTGTGCCTGCTGTATGTGTATGCATGCACCTCGGGGGCGTCCCTCGAGTGTGATCTCTCAGATGCGGCGAATTTGAGTTCCAGAAATAGTCCATACAATGTACGTATGTACTATGTACCGCGGGCGTCTGCTAGATCTGTATACTAGGAAGTTGTCCTTGCAGGGGCCGGTGGCGACTGCGCCAGTCGGGGAATAGATTCCCTACGGGGATTAGAGAGTTTCTGTATCCTCGTTCGTGGGGTTGGGGAATTGCAGGACTTTGGGCTGTTGGTGTTGTTTTAGGATTTTTCGTACTTCTGAATGGTAGATGTCTGTTGCCTATTCGAGTAATTGGTAGTGCACCTTACATTCAAGATTATCTTGTACTTCGTACGGAGCACAGAGTGGGCAGTTAGGTCTTGATATGGCTTTTTCTACTGACAATTATGATCGTCTGCCCTTGCTGCTCATGCCGTCTTCAATATTGGATAGCATCATGTACGAGGATAACAATTATTGTCTGTCAACGCTCTAAGGCGGGGAGAGTACTCTGTACATAGGATAGTGCCCGGCGATTCATGCAAATAACTTCCTCTATTGAATTGCCTAACAGGACACAACCCCTTCCGTGGGATGAGTCTAACACGAGCCTAAATTTCCATGTTTGCCACTAACAAGAACGAGTGGGAAATTCTAGGCGCTCCAGTAGGGAGACAACACGCACAGTAGTGCATTGTATGTACGAAATTTGAGAAGGCGATTCTGGAAACAGGGAATAGCAATCATAATCGAAGATCTCAAAAAAGCCTCCCCCGGAAAACGAGAGAGGTCGATATTGCACTCAGAAACCACGAATCACATTCCATGGACTAAGGACCCGTGCGGGTATAATATCCTACACTCCCTGGTTCATGCTACAAATATAATAAGTACAAACAGGGAAGAGGATCTGACATCGTGCATGAGGCGCTTTTAAGCGCTTGGCGAGGTTTAGCCCGATAGTATTGGAACATCCCAAATCATCGGATAATCAAGTGACTCAAATTACTCCATACATTAATCTATAGTGTTCGAATAAGATTTTTCTAATTATACCGTCCCCGCTTCGTCAATGACAGTTGAAACTTGACAGGTCAGAGGCGGCACGGAAAGGCGACTATTGGTAATGATTTGGGGAGAGCAGGGGAGCGGAGACGCTCATTGGCGATGCGAGTAAGCTTTGCGATGACAGCGTGGAGGTGAAGGGATCTTGAGAAAATGTGTACTTACAAATTTGTATATGGTGGCTTGTTCCTTACACATGAGAGCCGCACGGGACGCGGATCCTGTCCGAGCTTGGAGCGAATGCTGTGTAATATAGAAATAATATAGAAGAGGGGCTACGAAAGTATAATCATCGCATCATTTACAGCCACCGTAAGACCACGTAGAGATGTTCATACTAGAAATGCATAGGGTAGATGTCTACGTCCACGATGACACGCACACCCACGCAGAATGGCCCACATGAAACAAAACCCCTCAGAATCGGACCCAAGGACCAGGTTCAGAGTCTATTCACTGATCCGTGAAACTCAAAATTTTCGATTTCCTAGTATTAAGAAGATCCGGAGAGGAGCCCCTATATGCACGTCACTTAAAATGGTAAGCAGGGAGGGAACAAAAAGGACAAACGTGAAGATCTATGGGGCCCAGATTGTCCGGACTTTCCGAACAGTCATGTCCAGAGTTCGATCGAACTCGGGTTCGTATGAGATTGCCCTCGAGTTGC